CTCTTGAAGTCTTAGTCTGAATAATCAGAAACATTGCAGCAACTAGGTATGAGCCAGAAGCGTTGCTGTGAAGTAACTGCATATTTGGCATGAGCTATCTACAGCATCTGTTTGTACCTCAGCAGTGGTTTCTTCTCCCCGTACCTCACCATCTCCTTTAAAGCGTCTTTCAGGCAAGGTCTTGATGTGTGTTGGCAGTGCTTTAAGCCATCCCACATGTTAGTAGCATTACCTATAATTGCTTGATACAGTTTTATGTTAACCAAGGATTTTAGGATGTATAGACCATCCTACTGACCTGGGAAAGAGAAGAGTGAAGAACCTCTTTCCATGCTGCCAAGAAGTAAACAAAGTGCCTGAGCCCATGATGTTGAGCCCTTGTAATTGCCTGGCCCTTCAATGCTATTTATATAAAATTATCGTTTAGGGAACACATCTATAAATACCACAGCTACCTTAGCAAGCACAATGTGAAAATAGAGCCTTGTGCATTTTAAGTTGGCCAAACAAGTATTTTCCATCTAGTGAAACCTGTGAACATTCCAACTGGCTCTATTGGCATGGGAACAACGGCACTGTTTCATTCCCAGATGAGGATTCAACCCTGAAACATACAGTGACAGAGATGACTTTCTCAGATATCTTGGTGTCATTTCACCTACGCTGCTCAGATAGCAATGTTGCCTTCTGCTGACTATTTCAGTGAGTTGGCCGTGTGCTAATTTCTACCTTGATAGCTAAGTTTCAAGTGGCTGGCACTAAAAACAAGAATCTGTAATATTTCGTAACCTAGAGGAGATAACAAAATGCTTGCTTCCAGTGTTTGACTTGAGTACCTGAAAATAAAACTCATCTCTTTGATAGACAGTCTGTATTTGCAGTTTTAACATAAGATAGAATGAATCCACCACTCTCTGTATTCATGGTTTGGCTGGATTTAAGAAAACATTCTGGTGCCGTCTTCCAGTTGGCAGAACTCAGAGAAGTCTTTCACATGCTTGACAAACTTTTCAGCTGGGTCAGGCTGTGGATCATGGAAACTATGACCCTGATGCTACCGTTGATCCTGATTCAGGAGCTGGGAAACCAGGGAGTAAACACTGCTCTGCCTGGCTTGCCTGTGCTAAAGGGAGAGTTGAAATGCTAGATTTGGGGAGAGGTATTAAGTGGTGAGGAAAAAAGTTAAATGAAAACAAGTCTTCTTTCTATGCTCAATCTCCTCTGCTTGCTGAGTGTTATTTGTGGGTGAGGAAAGTTTGTAAAATCAACTAAATGAAAAGCATTTGGTGACTGACCATGAGGAGTGATCTCTCTTCAAGGATCAGGTTCACGGTGACAAAGTGCAGTTATTAGCATTGATACAACTTGGCATCTTTTTAATCTGTTCTCAAAGGAGACAGTATATTTACAAGGACAAGAACTAGTAAGTGATTCGGGGTCACTGTGGGCTGTGCATGAAGCTGCTTTCCCCAGAGGCTTGGTGGTCTGCTCTGGGGAGGGTAAGTGTACCATGTGCCACTGCACCCTCCCTGTGTCCTGGTTTCAGCCCAGACGGTGCAGATTGGACATTGCTGCATCGTTGTCTGGTGGTTGGGGAGGATGAGAGAGGCAGAGCTGCTACTGTGGTGGTGCAGGGCAGGGGGCAGCCACAGGATGGGCTGTGCTGTGCCATATGTGGCCTGCAGGTCATGGGCTTTGCGTGGCTGTAGTAGTGTAACAGCACTAACTGGTGGAAGCTGAATTCTGAGAGCATCAAAGCTCTAGTGAAGACTGCATAAAATATTTTCTGTGTTGACCTTACATTCTGATAACATTAGGAGAGAGGTAGGACGGAGGCACTTGTAATTTCAGGTCATTTTTTATTTTTTTAATATCAGAGCTAATGGGTGTCTCTACCCCTGGGGAATTTTAGGTCAGTCTTCCTGCGCTTGGTTCTGTAGATCACAGCAGCGTAGGCTTTTGAATCTAATGTTAAACAGCTGTTACTTTATCTGCCTGTGAGCCATGTGCTAAGACACTGAGGTTAGCCCTTGTGTGAAATTGGCTACTCCAAAACAAAAGAGTATCTTGTTCTAGAAAACATGTAATTTAGTGAACGGCTTTTTAGCTAGCAAACAAACTGCATGTGATTCATTAAAAAAGTGAGCCAGCAGTGTGCCCTTGCAGCCCAGAAAGCCAACTGCATCCTGGGCTGCATCAACAGAAGCAGCAGAGCAAGGGAGGTGATTTTGCCCCTCTACTCTGCACTGGTGAGGCTTCGCCTGGCCTACTGCATCCAGATATGGGGTCCTCAGTACACGAGAGACAGACCATCCCAAGAAGGGCCACAAAAATGAGCCCAGGGATGGAACCCTTCCCCTATGAGGACAGGCTGAGAGTGCTGGGGCTGTTCAGCCTGGAAGAGAAAAGGCTCTGGGGAGATCTGAGAGTACCCTTATAGGGGGGCTATAGAAAACAAGGGGACAGACTCTTTTAGCAGAGCCTGTTGTGGAAGGACAAGGGGAAATGGTCTCAAACTAAGGGAGGAGATACTGAGTTTGGATACAAGGAAGAAGTTTTTTACAATCAGGGTGGTGAGGCACTGAGCAGGTTGCCCAGAGAGGTGGTAGATGCCCCATCCCTGGAGACATTCAAGGTCAGGCTGGACAGGGCTCTGGGCAACCCTGTGTAGCTGTAGGTGTTCCTGTTCGCTGCAGGAGGGTTGGACCAGGTTGGACCTGGATCCAACCAGGAGGGTTGGATCACACTCAAACAGTTCTATGAGTAAGACTGGGTGCTCTTTAAATACTGTTGCTGAGGAATCAGGAATGCCTCAGAAACACTTAAAATAGACAGTTTCCAAAGAAATAAGCATAGAAAATTTTGGCTCGAATTACTCCTTCATACTTAGTCTTAAATCAGAAATGATGTTTTCTCTGCTACATTTCTGAGGACCCATAGTAAAGTAGAAAGCTTAAGAGAAAAAACTGTGGAGCTAGTGATTTTAACCAGGGCTGTGTCCCTTCACACACAGTGGAGTTTCTCCCGTAACTTTTATGAAAGAAAAAAAAAAATAGATGAAAAGACACCTAAAATCTCTGGAGAAATTGTGCTGCAAGCTTTGGATACCGTCAAATAAACACTCACTTTCAAGGAACTTGGGACCGAAAGCTAACCTGTATCTCTGTGCAGCTGGCATTACAACTGTGTAAGCAAAAGATGCTCACTTTCTGGTTGCAGTTCTCAGTTCAGAATTATTTCCATGCTGCTCTAGGTGCTGATTAAACATAAGGAAAAACCTGCCTTTTGCAACATGCGGTATTTCAGGAGTGAGTTTTAGCACTCTTGCATTTCATAAATCTGCAGCCTAAGCAGGCTCATCCAGGCTGCTAAATTGTTAGTTGCAATTTATTTTACAGTGCAGAGCTCAACACAGTTGTGCTGTCTGTGCTAGAGGCTGTAGAACATACTGAAGATACTCAAGTGCTGATATCATTGTTTAAGTGATTCCCCCTCCCAAAAAACAGAAGCTTGGCCTCTTACCTTTACCATAGTATTACTGCATAGCACAGCAGCTGTCAAGGATTTTGCAATGCACGTTCTTGCACCTGGAGCTGAAAACCTGAACTCCTGCTGACCTGCTTGCAGGGCCCTGTGCAGACAAGTGGTGTTTAATTGTTGGTGGTGGTAGCATTAATGTACTTCATTTAGGATACTGAAGACCAAACATGTTTCTCAAATCAGGCCTTTTATTCAGCACTTTCATTCCCCTGAGCATCACTGGGTCTTTTAGTGAAACAGAAGGGAGTGCAGCCACTCCCTTCCTCTTCTCTTGGCTATGTCTTACAGACAGCACATGCTCAGCAGCACAAGGACTGTTTTGACTTTGTGTTTGTCTGGTGTCCATTGCAACAAAGCTCTGGCCTGTCATTTGGTGCCTGAGCACTATTTGTACAAATAAAGTGGCCTGCTGAGCTGCTGTATTAGCAACCAGCTTGAGCTGGCTTACCTCACTCCTCCCTGTGGTTTAAAGGGGACTGAGGCCGTCTCAGGTAGAGGGCAGTGAGAGCTGATGCCCCTCTCGCTGAATAAAACACAGAGCCCCAGCAGCCTAAGCTGACAGCACACCCACAGCCCTGCAACCAAAATGACCTTTTGCTGCAGCTTGCAGTGATTTCAGCACCATGTTTATATCTGCCAAATTCAGGAGGTGACATGGTGACAACTAAAGATTAGAGCGGCCTTCTCTGTTTCCAAGAAAAAAAAATTGGAGAAATACGATACAATAAGCAAAGGACATTTCTTCTGCCTTCTGCCTGTTTCCAGAAAATGTGCTGATTGATAGATTAAAAAAAAAATGATTGATGCTTATTATCATTGCAACTCTGAGGGTGAGAAGCGTACACTAGAATATCCCAAGGGAATTGTGAAAGCCTCAGCAAACTGGCAGAGAACAAAAAGCCAATTCCATAGTCTCTCTGGATGAAGTTGCATCAGTGATTTTTTTCTACCACAAAAGTTCTGGCAAGGGATTTACTTTGTGTATGAACAAAATGTTTTTGGTGTTGGCATTACCTGTATCATTTCTTGCTGTGACGTTGCATCTTTTTGGCTCATGGGGACTTCTGAAGTCCTTTGAGTAATTAGGAGATTAAACCAAAGAGCAAGATTACATTTAGATGTTTACTGTTCTCTCCAGAAAACATACCCATTCTACCCCCATCCTGAGCCAGCAGATTTTCCATGTGACCAGCAGTGGTTGTGAGGCTGATGAATCCCACAGGGTTGTACTGCTGGTACAGTAGTACCACAAGGTCATCCTGATAGGCCCTGTGGGGAAAGCAAGGTTTAAAAATCAAAGTCCTGACTATCTTCTGGGACCATGAGAATCCTCACTTCTATATGTACTGTCGCACAGTGGCCAGAATAGTCTTTTGGCCTTTATTTTTCAAATTTGAATACTTTCTGTAGTGTTTGCCTGCAGAAACTCACCTAAGTTTGGTGTGTTTTCATTCATACAGAAGATGCATGCTTCAGGGAAACCAGAACTGCTTTGCATCTTGGCTTACAGGTAAGTGATACTAATTTGGGAGATCAGCAGTTGGCATGAGAGGTTGCATTTAGCCCCGGAAGTTTTGCTGTTTCCTCAAGAGTGGGTGGAGCATTGGACAGGAGGATTGCTAACAGGCACAGAGGAAACTTCACTGATGAGGCTTGACTAGTAATCCTTAAATACAGCAATGCACACCCCTCCCCAGTGTCTGACATGACAGTAGGTACAAGCTCCTATCTGTTAATAAATGTGAGTCAGGGCTCCTGATCCTGCAGCATAACTGCTTTGCTGATTGTGGCCCACCATGTCCTCTGCTGCACAAAATGGTGCACAGACTCATTCTGCTTCTGTGATTAGGTATCCCTTAGGTACCCCAAAATAAGACACTAAGTAAAGACAGTTCTTTGAGATGGAGGGCATGACATATTCTTGGGGAAATAAATAGAACAGCCTGAGCACTTAACAGGACAACGGAGTTAGAATTACCAGCCCCAGAAGAGAATTCAAACTTAAGTGGGCATTCCTATCTGGAAAAACAAACCCACAAAACCAGATTTCTCAATGCATCTGTGCTTGTCCAGCAAACAAGCTGCCATATTTTTCCATTAAAAATGTGTGAGAAAACGCTGCCCATTCTGGCACAAGGCTTTGTTGAAGAACACTTGTGCTCTGCCCTCTGCACTTTATTACAGAGCATGTTTATTCACATTGGTGTTTGGGCTTCCATTAGCTTTAATTATATATGGAAAAGTCTAATTCTGCTGCATATACCTCTGTGTGGACTAATTAGGTGAGTGATTGTGAAAAGCCACTGGAGAGGTTGCATCCGTTATTAAGAATTTCATTTTAGAAATGGACCAATTATTCAAAATACCTCTCAGGACCTTCCCTGAACATTTGTTCATGAGCCAAACAGTGGTTTGCCACAGCTAGTAACAGTTTTTCCAATTAGCTGAATGAAGAAGGAAAAGCTTCCTTACCTGCACAAAGCCAGCAGGAAGCTGACTCATGGCAGTAGTAGAGGTGAATACAAAACACCATTTTGCATCTCACAGAATCTCTGTCCCATTGCAGACTTCTCTTGACTTTCCCAACTTTGGTACAGAGCCACAATCCAGCAGGAGCTGCGCTGTGCCCCCAGGAGACTTTTCCCGCTCATTTGTGAATTCTTCCTTCCTCTTTTGAAATGTGATAAAGCACTGGTTTCTCTTAAAATCATTTCTCCCACCACGGTCTCAGTTCCCTCTGTAGAGTTTTGCAAGAAATCAGCTTTTTCAGTGTTAGCCTGTCCAGCAGAATTCTTGCTCCCCAGACAAAGACCTGGGCTAGGGCTTGGGCTTCCAGTAGCTATTTGTAAGCCACATAGGTGTGCCTCGTGCAGGCTGCAGTTGAGATCCATGTGATAAGTGGAAACCATTTAATTAAGTGGCATAATCTCTCCCACCAGATAAAGAAGAGCTCAGATAACTTCTTCAGCAGGAGGAATGCACGTGACCCTGACACATGATCTGGTCTCATCAAGATATCCCGAGTGCTACACAGCTACAGTGTCAACACGTTGCCCAGGACAACAGGTACAGCAGGAGCTATTGAATAGAATATCTCCACCCCTGATGCCAGAAATGTTTGAGCTGCAGATTGTGGCCAAGTGGGAAATTACATCAGCTAATCCTATCACCAAATCTTTACCTCATGGCCCACATTTGCCAACCTAACAGGTGAGAATGAGCCTCATGTACCTGAGGATGCTTTAATGTCCCCATTACTGTGTTCATGTGCCCACAGTGACAGCAGTGATGTTCACAAAGATGCTGAACTGCAGTACCTAGATGCTGAGAAGTTTCTTGTACTGGTCAGTGTTCTTGCAGCAGTGTCTCCTGTCCTGCCCTAGTCACTTACAGCCCTGGGTTATTGCCAAGTTTATCCAGGATAATTAGGTATTATGTACTGTTCTCCATTCTGCACTGTTGCGAGGCTGCTCACAGTTACCTAGGAAAATTCCATCTACCAGTTTTGTTTTGTTTTTTTTTGATAGAGGAACAACAGGTTGCAGCACATTAGCAACAAGCTCTGAGCCATCTCCCAGAGAAAATGTCACAGCCCTCAGGAGACTATCTGGCTGGGAAAAAAAAATAATCAGGACATAAATATCAGGAAAGCCCAAAACTCCTATACCACCTGGGGAAGTGAAATCTTGGCATGCAGTGGCCCCCAAACCCACAGGCTGTATCCCAGCCTTGCTGCATGGTGCCTGACAAGGGCTCCTGGGAGGCACTGGCCTTGCACAAGGCGACCTCACTCATGACAGCAAAGCTGCTGCAGCCATCACTGCTTACGCAGGGGCCAGGGGCCGTCAGAGCCCTCACAGGAACTCCAGTGCCTCCAGGCAGCCTCCTCCCTTCAAGTGGGGCAAGGCAAGCAGCAAGCGCTCTGAGACCAGGGCTAAGCCTGGCTCAGGCTTTTAAGGGGAAAAGAAAAAGAAGAATTGATTCTATTAAAAGAAGCAGCAAAAAAGAAACCACACTTCTTTATTAAAACTGATTGATTTCTGAGAAACCATGGGATGGTCAGTACATCCAGTAACAGCATTGAGTCTGCTGGCAGCTTGCTCTTCCACAAAATGACTTATCAGGGTTTATGCAAGCTGAGAGGATTTACTTGGCCTACAAAACACCCCTGAGATATTAGTGTTCAACCCTTTGCCAAAGAGAGCAGAAAACACTTTCATTTTCTGCTTTGATTTGGAGTGCTAGATTTTTTTTTTTTATTTTTTTTTTTTCTGGTACAAACATGGAGAAATTTTGTTGTAAAGTGGCTACAAGAGCAGCTCTTGTGGGTTGGCCATTTTGGGGAGGTGAATGCAAAGTCACTAATTCGGGGACTTGCATGCCTAGGGAGCCCCAGCAGTGGTGGTACCCAGCTTGACACTGCACAAGCTTTGCATTGCCTTCTGAGGCTTCTCCCTCCCCCAGGACCCTCTTTTACCCCCATTTTGAGTCTCATTTCTTGCTCCCTTGATGCCATGATGGCAGCAGAGGACATGAGACAGTTTTTCCTTCTGCAGTTTTGTCTCAGTGGCTTTATAGCCAACTTCAAAAGGTTTGAAAGAAAAAGCAAAATCACTCTTTTTGATTTTGTTTTTTAAATCTTTGCTGCTCAAAGCAGTCCTTATTCATCACTAAAATATCTGCATGCTCACATCTGCATAGCAAACGGTACACCTCCTTCAGCATGTTTCAGCAAGATGGCTTGCAAAGTCAGAGAACTAGTGGTAGAAGTGCAGTTTGTACATCAGAGACAGGGAAACTAAACCAACTACTTGTGCAAGGTAGTACCTTTACTCTTGAACTGCCACCTTTGAAAGGAATTCCTGGTACTCATCATGCTGATACACATCTCAGTGCAAACGAGGCACTTCTGAGTAACACCTAAAACTCACCAGGAAATGATTCTGTAAATCACACTGATCACAATGAATGTAATTCCTAGCATGGGGCTTTCTTACACACCCATCGACTCAAAAAGTAGAGCTGCCCAACAGGCACAGGGCTCTGTGCATCATTGTGACTTGTAGGTAGAGAACTTATCAGGTGCAGAGGAGCAGGCACCATCCTAATCTGAAATTGCTCATTTGCTTGATAAATTAAGCAATCTCTAACTATAGAAGGGCTATTCATGCTAATTACACTGCTGTTATAGAAATAATTAAGCAGCAATTCATTGCAGGTGCAGTATCGTTGTAGGAATAACATCACTAACAGGGACAGAGCAGAGGTGCAGTAGAAGTGTGCCATTAAGTGTGCCATTGGTGAAGGCGCTGAAAAGACCTCAGTGGGCTGATGGGCTACAGAAAGCCACTGTGGCCAGATTTCCATGATAGGAGTATTCAAGCCCTCTGCTGGGCACACTGGGGAATACTGGCCTGATGCTTGGCCACAAGCAAGCAGCTGGGGAAAGCAAGCAAACTTGCACCAACCCCAGGTGGTTGCTAGAGGCAGGTAAGCTGCTGGGAACTGGGTGTTTGGGAGCGGTACTAAACAAAAAACTCTGTGAGATTTAAGTTTTTCATGGTTGTAGTTGAAGTGAAGCTCAGGCTCCTGAAAAGAAGCAGCATAAGCATCGGTTAGTTAACCCAATAAAAGGAAAGGTATTTTTTTCTTAAGAAATTCTTTACTGTGAGAGTGGTGAGACACACTGGAACAGGTTGCCCAGTGAGGCTCTGAACGCCCCCTTGCTAGAAGCATTCAAGGCCAGGCTGGATGGGGCTTTGAGCAACCTGGTCTAGAGCGAGGTGTCCCTGCCTATAGCAGGGGATTGGAACTAAGTGAGCTTAAAGGTCTCTTCCAACCCAAACCATTCTATGATTCTTAAAAATGGGGGCAGTGGGGGAACCATTTATTAATTTCCCTGCTAGGAACATAAGATGTGGGGAAAATAAGCTTTCTCAGTTTGCATATTAGTCATCAGAAGTGTTGGTGGCACTTTTCCCACCACTCCAGTTGAAGGCTCATCCCTTCGTACACTGCTGCTTTAGTAGATTAAAATGTAGTCATCAATGCCAGCTTGTACATAAACCTTAATAGTCAGAGATCAGGCTAAGAACTATCATTGCTGTTTTTCATTAAATCAATTTAAATAAAATATTAGATCCATAAAAGCTTTAAGAAAGGGCTATGGTAGTTTTATCTGCTCCCTGAATTGCTAACTCTGAGAACCACTGGGCTTCTTGCTTTGCTAATGACTAATTTTTCTAGCATTTAAGGCTGGAATTTGCTCTTCAGGCCAACCGCATCCTTGGCTGTAGTGCCACCGACTTCAAGTGAAAAAAACAGCAAATAACTGGCCTCACAATTTGTTCTAATTTTTATTCTATGTATTGTGTACAGTGCTTGTCTAAAAGGAGCAGCGATTATTTTGCTTTCTACAGTTTGTCTACAAAATCCGTACAAAGAAGGGTTCATCAGCAATTTCTGGCAGGCTGGCAAGAGGTGGAGTTTATGGAGGAGGAGATCAGCTCAAAGCCACCCAGCTCCCACCCAGGGAGTTCAGCAGGAGCAAGTAAATCATTTCCCCAGGCAATAATTCCATAGCCTGCATGGGAAGCAGCTGACTGTGCCAGAGTCCTGAAGTGCCTGGACTGAGGTATGTTCACAAAGTGCTTTAGTGACAGAAGAACTCTGGACAATGCACATCTTTTGGTCCCAGTTTGTTAAAAGAACTTGGTTGCTGTCTGAACCAAGGCTGCCAGATAAGTTACAGCAGGAGCAGAGAGAAAAAGACTTGTAGCTTGTTTAAGCATTATCACTGTGTAAACGAGGTGTTCCTTACTGATCAAGTTAGCTTAAAACACGCATGTATTTGTGTTCTAAGGGCAACCCCTCTTTTTGTGGCAGAAATAGATTACTTTTCTATAGGAGTCAATGCTGCTTTCCAGTTTCAAACCACTGGGACGGCTGCTTAATTCAGATGTCTCCTCATACAGGGAAGGGACCAAATTGGATGTTTCTCATGGCCCAGCAGTATGCGAGCAGTGCGCTCTAAGCTGCTTTAGCTCAAAGTGATTATGTAAGTTAACCTGTGCAAGCTGTTTTCTATAAAAGGAACAAGTGGTATTTTTAGCAGGCTTTATGGAGTTGCTTGGCAAGGGGAAGAAACGGGAGATGCCTCAGCACCTGATCCAGCCCCTGTCACCACCACAGTGACTACGATCACTGGGTTTGGATGTGAGAGGGCGCATCCCTGTTACTGGACCCGTTCACAATAATCTTTCCTAATGCCAGTTTTTAATCAGCTTCCTGTGCCATTGAGCATTTTCTGCATCCCTAACTGGCCTTCAGCAGGGTCAGAGGGGCTCCCTGTGCTCTGTTAGAGAGATCCTGGGGAGATCCTACCTCCATCAGCACCTTGCTGACCATGGTTTGCACTTACCTCCTAGTAAGGAAGGACACCTACCCCACATGCACAAAAAAAAAAAAAAAAAAAAAAAAAAAAAAAAAACAAGGGGGAAAAAAACCAACTTGTATTAGGCTGGGATTTGTAGCTGTCTTCCTTTTTGTTACTACCTAGTGTGCATTTACCTATTTTTCCCCATTTTCATAACAGGAACATGCTGACTCCTGCAGAGAATGGTCATCTGGGTAAGTGCAAATTTAAAAAAGCTAAGGCTCTATGAAGTATGTGTGAAGGGTGTGTGAAATTGATAGCTGCCCTGGTTTGCTAATTCCCATCCCCTACCAGCAGTCTCTTCTAAGAAGTGAGGCTGCTCCCAGGAGAAGACAAAAATCTCAGTTTTAGATGGAGGTGGGTCTGTTCAACTGTCATTTCTGAACAAAGTTATATTTTGTTCCCCAAAAAGCTTCAGTAAATTATTTCAAGGGAGTACATCTGTCGTTAACTCACTCTTACAGAGCCACATATCCCAAATCTCTTTGTGTTCCTAAAGGCTGGCCCCGTATTTCTCTACATGAACTGGTGGGGCATTTTGAATATTCTCTCCAGCCGGAGACCTGCCAGACATTTGGCCTTAGCAATGGTAGCAATGACAGTGGTGATCTAGGAATCTTCATTCAGTCAAACCAAACGGAATACATAAAATTAAAACCAAAAAACATACAACTCTCCAGTAAATGCATAAAGTTACTTTATTTTCAGTATACATTTAATTTTGAAAAATATAAATGCTAAAATATCTCATCATCTTCATCTTTTGATTCCATAAAAGTCACAATAGAAAGCTTCATAAAACTGTAAAATACTATGTTATAAGGAATTTCATGTTTCATATTAGTGGAAAAAAAATTTAATATATTGAAATGTTTTCTGCTTTTTTCGTTTTTGTTCCACCATCTTGATCCACTTCATTTTACATTAATTCTTTATTCTTTCCTCCAAAGCAAATATAGACTTAAGAGAATTAAAACTAATGAAAGTATCTGAAAGTGCGTATTGATTCCAAGGAAAAAAAAAAAAGTAATGCATACAAATATATGTCAACCTTGACAACAAATAATTAGTGGCTACAGAGGCAGGCAGTCACCATTTTCATGGGCCTGGGACAAAGCTATCTGCAGTTCGTTTGTTTTCACTGGGTGATGGCAGGATTTGTGCCCTCACTTGGTACCTGTTTTTGTAGGACTTCTAAGATAAACTGTTTGGGGGAGTTTTTTGGTTTGTTTTTTTTTTGTTTTTAATGGACTCTTCTGATTTCAGAAGAGCCTTCCCAGAAGCCAGAAGTACTTATCCAGGCTTTTCTCACCAACTGTCCAATTCTGAACCAAAATTAGTTTTAGTTTTATTGTCACAAGGCCTACAAAGTGCAGTGAAACTCACCTTGTGGTGACATCAGCTTATCAAATGCTATTAGGCAGCTGCTTTTCACTGCCTTCTACCTCTTGGTGCCAGCAGAGCTCTTGCTTGCTGTCCTTGTGGTTGTTTAATTTTTTTTAAAGAAAAAAAATAGAAAGGACACACAGCCTTCAACAAAATGCTGTTGTCAGGAAGCAGGAAATAAAAATTTTCCAGCTTCTGTCTCCATCCAGAGTTGTTTTTGACATGGAAGACTACAGCAATCTTTGTCCCATCCCTTAAACAATGCTACCCTCTGTACAACAGCTCGTCTGTTAATGTAAAAAATAAAAAAGAGAGAGAAAGATCTAGATCAGCAGTCAATACATTTCAAGTACATTTAACATGGTTCAAAAGTGGAAGACCTCATTTTTGTGAAGACAAATCACCAGGTAATAGCAGATGAAAGGATGTATGATGTGTGTGTGCGTATATGCATGTGTGCAGTATGCTGCATTCTGAGCATACTGTAGCTGGGGGGAGGGTTCTTTTGTCAGTGCTCTTTTAAGGAAATCTTTTTCTCTATATTAATCTATGCTGATCTTTCCTTATTTGGATTTCTACAAATAAAGTGTCTGGGCAAAACATAAAAGCTCACATGTACTGTGTACATGATGACACTTGAGCCTGTTTCCCCTTTGGTAGTCTGCGACTTACTTTCACCAAGGAATTAGAACAGTTTTCTACATGTTAGCATTGCACTTCCCAGGTTCTCTGTCCTCCAACTAATCCTAGCAGGCAGCAGAAGGGATCACACAGTGGCTGCTTTTCTGGCTGCTTCAGATAGCTCCTCACCCTTTTTGAAGCAGGTTTGGGCTGCATTTATGGGATGCTGATATCTCAGGGGCAGCAAAGAGGAACAGCTGCTCTCCCTTCTTCTTGCTCTGCTTTCTCACAGTAAACAAGAATGTTAGGAAAGCAGAAATTTAGATTCCTTGGTAACAAGCTGGGGAATGTACGTGTGTGTGCATGTGTGTGTGCTGTGCCAATTCCTCTGCAACTCAATCCTATTTGTGCAGCAACGAGCACTTGCACAAGACTGTGCAAATTAGTACAAAAATAATATAAAAACAATAATATTATTACAGTGCATATAATTGCATCTTTTAACCAGAACTAGTATCTGGGGAAAAAGAGAGTCCTAGTTTGCAGCTCTAATTGTTGTTGTGGTTGTTACTAGCTTGTGGATGCTAAAATTTGGCATATAAAGTCTCTCAGCACCGTGATAAAATGCTATTTCCTTAATCAACATGGACTTTGGTTTCTTCACAACAGGTGTGGAAGCCACTAAGCTCTACTTTTTATTCATTAGGGAAAAAAAATGAAACAAAGCCGTGTTAGGCATTACAAAATAGTTTCTGCAAGTGTGTTTTTTAATGCCCAGCACTGGGGGCTATTAGGGACTGTCCCCCCCTCTGCTGCTGCTGGGCAGCCGCTCTCACTGCTGTTTCCCTGGTATGCTTCACTGCAGGGAGCTTCGTTTTTACAATGAAGCGTTTGCAGTGTCATATGAAATCCTCGCACTTTAAATAAATGTGCTGGGGAAGGCCAGTTTCCCAAATGCTATTTTATATGTGCATACTCAAGTTCACTGTATACCCACAGCAGAGAAAATGATCTGTCACAAGGCGATGCTTGCTGGGTTTAAAACCAAAAACCTGTCACTGTGTCACTGTGCCTAGCTGATTTGCTACCGCTATGTTATCGTGTATGGAAGGTTTTGGTTTACTGGGCAGAGGGCCGAGCAGTCAAGGTGTAAGAATAAATTCTGTACGTGACAGAAAGCAGTGCCTGGGCTCTGTCAGTTCTCGAGGAGGATCTAGAACATGCATCTCAACTGCATGCAGGGTGTTTCCACTTGCACACATACACACACGTGCACACACGGATGTTTCACATGAAAGAATTCTAACAATACTGCATAGGAAATCAACAAAATGAATACAATCAGCATCGTCCACTGACACTGTTAAGCAGTCAGTATTTCACTTACCAGCAGTACACTTAAGACTCATCCTAGATCATGAGAGATTTAAGTTATATCCCATCTCCTTCATAGTGAAGTTAGATTATTCATAAAAAACAAAATAACCCTAAGTAGTACAGAAGCTTCAGAGTAGAAGGTGTTGATAAAACTGATCCAGCCCTATGCCATGTCCTGGAGATTGTGTATTTTTTTTTCTTTTTTGTAAAAATCACATTATATATGGTACAATACATTTTTACAGAAAGCCTGGCATCTAGAAATAAGAGGTAGAACTACTCAAAACTATACGTTTCCTGCTGCAGGAAAAATTCATTTTTCTTTACAGTAATTAAAAAAAGGTTAAAAAAATTGACAAAAAAAAAGTCATAGGTTAGGCCCCCATAATTTAAACAAAATAATCTAGGAAAATAACACTCTTCAATGTACCTGACAGATTAAGTCCATTAAAGTGTTTTTTTTAAAAAAAATTGCATAGGAAAGGGACATTTCAAAACACATGCTACAACGATGGCAATAATTTGTCTGTGCTGGGAGTGAAGTACCTTTTAGTTTTCTTTCCTGTGTTACTACGAGTACAGGCTTTAAGAGCAAGTTAGTATTAGCAGCACTTTCCAGCATCTTAGAGCAGTGTAATAAAGACATTGAATTAGCCTGGAGGTCAGTTTTGTTCTGCCAGACAACAAACAAACAAACAAACACTGATTCACAACTAAAATAATGCCAGTTCCCCTGACATTTCACAAAAGTATTATATTATATCCTTAATACTTCTGCCCTCTGCTTGAAAATGAGATGTGTGCATGTCTAAGCAACAGAGAAGGCAAAAATGAGTCTTGGTCAAAGTGGAAAAATTGGGTGAGGATAAATAAGAAGAATTCTGGAGGGGGAAAAGGGTGGAGCGGGGAGCACAGAATGTCTCATTTACTTACGCAGGTGGGGAGCAGAGAGCATTGTAATATTTGGCTAGTGACAAAATAAATTCCATGTAAGACTTAACAGACAAATTACAAAGTAGTTTCTGTTCCCTTGCTCCTCCAGAAATAACCATTGTCTTCAGGCTCAAGTTCTATTCTAATTTGAGGCACAACTTTTACTGGAGTTCGTGGAGGGCTGCGAAGAAAAAGAAGACAAGGTAGGTAAGTGTATGGACTAATGCCATGTATTTTAGTGATGCTTGATGCACTCTGCAGTGCTCAGCTGAATTCTGAAGAGTGCATTTTCTGAGGGATCAGTTCCTGAAAAACTGTGCAACTCCAAGATGAAAAGATATATTCATAAACAGAGTGGCTGGTGGAGCTGGTTCACACCTCAAAAACTGCAGATCCTAGTACTTACTGGGCACAGCATGCTGTCACATCTAGAAATGGAAAAAATGCTCGACTCCCAATACCAAGTGTATCAGCACAGACCAGTGCAACACAGCTTTCTGAAACTGGCAGCTTACAGACACCAAATAAATAACTCAGATGGGAACTGGTAATAGAAAGCTCTCTTTGGTACCAGAACTTATTGATAGGCCTGTGCATCACGTAATATTATTTAAATGAATTGGTCCAAACACTGCTCATGTCAGGGACTAAGCCTACTGATTTTGTTAACAGAGGAGCTCCACGTACCCAGAACTTGTGCTTCACACAACTAACTGCCTGTATAAGTTTATATATTTTTAAGTCATTTAATTTTTTTCCCATGTAGACATGTTTTTCTAGACTTTTCCCAGTTGTTCCACAACTTTTTGCTGATTTGGACCCCAAGACCTACATGAGTACTGCGGCTGGGGTCTAACATAAGGCCAGCAGAGTACTTATGTAAGCTAGTCACTCTCTCCACACTGTAAGGCCATGCTGGGAATTAAGTTAGGATGTAACAACTGCACATTAGAAATTCTCTCAAGTGTTTTCTAAGAGTTTCCTGTAGACAGAAACTCTGTAGAGTTCTCTGTAGACACTGTGGCACATAGAAATTGCATTTTACAAGTACTTACCTTGGCATAGTGTGTGACTGAAGAAAAGGAATTTTATCAGCACGACGTATGGCGTTCAAGGAATGTTGGTGATTTTTCTTCTGTCAGGGAGGAGAGAAAAGATCTTTTTTGTCATTGCATGCAGCACTGATGGTTTCTTAAACCCAGCAAACTCTCACATGTATTTAGCAGTGCTTTTAACTGCTGACTTCCTTCTATATTAATTTCACAGCTGGTAAATGAAAATAATAAAGTTAAGTCTCTCCTCCAACATACAGAATCTGAACTGCCAAAACAGTGGTGATTGATTTGCAGGGACTGCCCTGTGAGCTGCATTCAGCTGCATGCTGAATGCATGCGTATACAGTTGTACAGCCAGGAGCAGTCACTTAGCTGCCACAGAAGAGGCCACTAAGCTGCTCCAAGTAAACAGCCCATGGGAAAACTCACTTTGTATTCACCAGGCCTGCACTGCAGCATAGCAAAGGGTGTCCACTTCATGTATGCTTCCCGGGGGAAGCCACAAGACACTGACTGCAAAGCTGGTCTCAGCCCAGCGTGAGGCGCGAGCATTTATGTGTCTGTTTTGTGCTTAGAGTTGCCTGACAAAAAGGAGTTGGGAATCCCTCAATCAGGGCTTGGGCACACAAAGCCTAGATGGGAAATTCCCAAATTCCATCTGAGAAAAACTACTCTGTTTCTTGGCCTCCTTTCAGCACGTTTACATCTTGATACTTACCTTTCATCTACAACTTAAGTTACCCTGTGTTCCCCCACTGTAGCATCCAAACTCCTTGCATGAAAACAGGTGGCTTGTTGCCTGTAATCACATTCATTTCCTGACCAGCATGGTGAAATGTACTCTTTTTTAATAATAATTCTATTCTTGCTATTGCTGAAGGGAAGCTAAAGAGTAAAAAATGAATTTTGTGTTTGAACAGAGAAACAGCTGGAATTCACTTCTCTGCCTTAGTAATTGAAGGGTAAATAATTTGTCAAGCACTCTAAAGATGCAAAATATGGTCAAGTACTGAATGCTATTAGTATTATTATTAATATACTTTGAGTCTTGGAGCACTGGGTGAGTAGGGTAAGACCATGATGTGGATGGATTCCAGCTACTTTTGCTAATACAAGAGCCTGATTTTTTTTTTTTTTTTTTTTTTTTTTTGCATTGTTACTAAATAAAAGCTGACAAATCAATTTCTGATTCATAATACTGCACACATACACAAACAAACAAACTGCTGCTTGGCCCATGGTCGTCTTATCCCATGTTGTCTGAAAAGGGCAATCCAACAAACAGGTTTGTGGCAGAAGTATTACCATTTCCCTAATTATTTCAACCCTGATGAACAGTGTACCCAATTGTAAGATCCTGTGCAACAACATTTAAGATGAACTTGGTTTAAGCATATCAGGGCATTTTCACAGAAAAATGAAGATGGTCTGTTAGGTTCAAGGTTGTTACACTGAGAGTGTGCAATTAGTAAAGTAGTTGTCTTTCTCTTTGGCTTTGTTTTAGAATGTTAATCTCTTAAGTGTTCATTTATCTAAAAACACAATGCAATGCTTAGGGTTGCCAAATGCCACCACCAAAAGCCAAGATAGTTAGGGACCAGCTCCTAAACACAAATCCTACTTAAGGAGTCTAAAGATCAGTGTTTCCAGGTCTTATTCCTAGAAATCTTATCACTAGTAATGCAGCAGTATTGATTTACTGTTATCATTTGTTCCCATCTCATGACAAAACAGCATATTTATCTCAAGACTGAACCCACTGCTCATAATACTGTCAAAAGTCGCTGCAAAGGCAAAAAAGCTCATGTCAGTTGTTACTTCTTATTCCTCTCTTAAAAGACTATGATATGAGAAGTTAAAGTGACTGAAAATTAAGGCGTAGTTGAGTTGGAGACCTGTAGCTAGCAGTCCGGTATTGTTCAACATCTTCATCAATGACTTGGAAGAAGGGATACAGTCCACCCTCAGCAAGTTTGTTGATGCAATACTGGGAGGAGTGGCTGACAGACAAGACGTCTGTGGTACCTTTCAGAGAGACCTGGGTGGGCTGGGGAGCTGGGTAGAGATGAACCTGATGAGGGTTCAACAAAGGCAAGCGTACAGTCCTATGCATGGAGAGGAATAACCATACACACCAGTACAGGTTAGGGGCTGAACTGATGGAAAGGAGCTATGCAGAGGACACCCAAGGTGTCCTGGTGGATTACAGGTTGACCATGAACCCAGGAGTGTGCCCTTGTGGCCAAGAAGGCCAGTGGGACCCTGGGGTGCATTAAACAGATCATGGCCAGCATGTCAACAGAGGTTCTCTTCCCCCTCTACTCGGCCTTGGTAAAGCCTCATCTGGAGTACAGTGTCCAGTTGTGGGCTCCCCAGTTCAAGAAAGACAGGGAACTCCTAGAGAGAGTCCAGTGGAGGGCCACAAAAATGACTGGGGGCCTGGAGCAATCTCCCCTATGAGAAAAGGCTGAAAGACTTGGGACTTTTCAGTCTGGAGGAGACTAAGAGGAAGATCTTAGAAATCTCTGAAGGGCAGGTGTCAAGAGAATGGGGCCAAGTTATTTTGGTGGTGCCCAGTGACAAGACTAGGGGCAACAGACAAAAACCAGAATACAGGAATTTCCACTGAAACATGAGAAAGAAATTCTTTACTTTGAGTATGACATAGCACTGGAACAGGCTGCCCAGAGAGGCTGTGGTTCCTTCTTTGGAGATATTCAAAACCCTCCTGGAAGCTTTCTTGTACAACCTACTGTAAGGGAACATGCTATTGCAGGGAGTTTAGACTGGATGATCTCTAGCGGTCCCTTCCAACCCCTACCATTCCTTGATTCCAGGATATTAACCTAAGAAATAGAAAGACACAATAGCACAAAAGCAAGTCACCTAAGAAGGGAAATGTGTTAAAGGTCAAATGATCACTGCTTTGTCAGTGTAATGAATAATGTGAATCAATGACATGCTTAATTATTCTTTCAAAGTGCTGAGTTTTGCAACTGCTTGGAACCTAAGGAAATAAACAGTAACAGGACAGAAATGCAGTTCAGACATGCTGCAAATCCAGAGCAATAGACTCAGGAAAAATAAACGCAAACCATCAGCAAATTTAACATAAAATGGCAAAGGTCAGAAATGGACTGAGTGGATGGGGGAGTTACAGAGAGGAGGAGAAAGGAAGTTATCACGAAACATAGCTGGACAAAAGCAGTTTAAGCTGGAGGCACCAAAAGAAATAACACAGATTTTGGAAAGAAAAAAGAATACATAAAAACAAAGCCAAATACTGTCATAAATCAGAGACCTGGAAATTAAAAACAAACAAAAACCCCACACTTCTGAAACAATAGAAAAGCTTTAAAAAAAAATTAATTTATATATATATTTTGTACTGCACGTCAGAGTCACGCAGGCATGCAAGAGGTTAGTTCTACTCACTGTCGGCAGGTTTGCTATCACTTAGGAAAGGTTCCTGCTCCATGATGTCCATTGGTATTTTAATACTTGGGACTTTTTCTGAGTAGGGGCAGTCAGACTGTGAAAGAAACGTGTAAAAGTTCTTAGAAAATTTCCACTGCTCTCTTACTGTCACCCACAAATTAATATTATCCTTCACATAATTTCTGTAGAAATCAGGAGAAAAGTAAAAGAAAAAGAAGGAATTCTGTAGACCAGCTGATGGCCTCTTGATTTTAAACTGGATCCCTTTTGCACCTTACTTTCCCTCTTCACACTATGCAAGTAAAGCAGACTGAAAGAATAATCTTATCTAAGTAAGCGTTATCTTTTCCTCTCTCCACCTCACCAGTTCCTATGCTACTAGTTTATAAGACACAATCTGAGTCAGCTTGGGGTTGACTACAGGAAATAATGGATCAAACATGCATTTGTTGGCAGAAATGATAGGGCACTGGCTTCTGAGAAATCTCACCAAAAAGTTTCTATTCTTATTGTGATTCCTATGAATTATAGCAGGACAATCTCTATATTTTTTTCTCCCTCCAAACTGTTCTACAAGGAAGTATCAGGCAGACAATCTTTAACTTCTATTGTACAAAGAAAGAGTTTTCCTCTTTCTATTTGTTACTTAAATAAAGTCAGACCTAGTCCCAATTATACCTCTGCTTACAGTAAGATGTTTCATCAAATCCAGAATTCATGTAATCCCACCACACAGGAGATACAGCAGACTGTTCAAGAAGAATTACAAGCGCAGAGAAAAGCTGTACTTGTTAGCAAGCCTTTCTCCAAGATAGCTTTCTGCTGAAGTCAGCGAGCTTTTGCTCAAATTATCAGCACTCTGTGACCACTGAGTCCCCACTGTGTCCCACTGGTTCCAATAATAACCCACTTGCTTGTGCTTAGAAGGTGCTGAATTACTTGGCTTTTAATTAATTAATTAATTAATTTTTATCAAACAGTTTATTGTAATCAGAGAAGGGCTGATACTGTTTGACTTGGCAAAGAAATTAAGGTGATACACACCAAGTGATGTGTGCCAGAAATGTTAACCTAGCTTTATTCCTAGAGAGAACAAGACGAAGTATGAAGTATAACACTGCGCTGGGGGGAATCTGACCTAAAAGTCAGAGTAGGAAAACATAACAGAAACCAGAAAATCTCTCTCCCTGGGTCTTCTTTTTAGTTTGTTTTGTTTGTTTGTTTTTTAATGTTACAGACATCCAGTGCAATGCTGTGTGTACTCCACTAGCAAAATGTTTCCTCAGATGTGTGCATATATATGCACATTACTTATTTTTAACAAAACTATATATAAGCATAGCTCAAATAAATTCTAAAAAGACATGGAGGCAATAAAGCCATACCAGAATTCCCATCCATTTGGAGTTATGTTGTAAGCGAGCTAAGAGTTGAGTAATCCGTCCAACATATCACTGTTCTGCTGCTAATAAATAAAAGATCTGTGGAATGGGAGTGCTCATGCTCGAGCTGCTTTAAACTTGACCATGCAAAAAGAAAAAAGAGATAGAGAAAATGCCTATGGTTGGCAAAAGTACTCTAAAGGGGAAAAGAGGCTATCACACATCACTTCTGATTCTTAACCTAAATATAACATCCCAGTGTCTTTTTTAAAAATTGGCTGGTGCTTCCTGGATCATGCATTTTGGACATAAAATCTGAGACAAAATTCAGCTTTCCACTACACACAAGCTTAGGTAAATCCAGCAATTAGCGGCTGTAATTTTCACCAAGTTACTGAAAAACTTTCTTTGCAGCTCCTTTCTTGCTGTCCCTAACTGCCAGCAAATCCCCAGTGAGAACTAATAGTAAATCCTAACTCGTGCTAAAGAGCAGTCTCTGTTAATGCCAGGTTTTGCTGTGCTTGTTTACATAACACCACTTGAATTCACAACGTCCAGCAATTCTCTTCTCAACTCTTATCAGTAGAATGCCTGCAAAACCCCACAGTACTAATTTTAATTTTAAAGAGGCATATTTCTGGAATGGAAAGGGTGACAATAATCAAACCCATAACACCAAGTGCTTTATGTTCAGGAAGCTGCCAAAAGCAAGTGCTGGAAAAAAAAACAAGAACAAGTTGAGTGAGAACATTCTGCATAAATTCTGTTACCCACGTGACTGAGTACTGTACCTGAAAGTCTATGAGGTTTAAAATACACCAGATACAGGAGACATGGCTAGGGATACTATACTGCTGGATTCAGATCAATCATAATGAAGGAAATGAGTCAAACCTTTGTTGACTTTTCAGTATGTACAGCAGGACATCTTCTTTCACTTTCAGTCATACAAATCTACTGAAGGAAACCCTTGACCTTGGCTTTCCACATGCTGGAGCCATTGAAATGAAAAGGGAGGCCTGTGCAAGGAACACCTTTCTACACACAGTAGTACATAAATGCGCGTATCCTGGGGTGAGGTAGCTTGCAGATGATGGCACACTATTGAAACATCAGTGTCAGAATTTTTACATCCTGTTTCACTGGAGTAATAGAAGAGAAAAAGCATTTCTTATGTTGTCTCCCACAGCTGAGAGGGACAACGTGGGAATGTGCACATGTGGTTTTCTGTTGATGTGATACCGATAACGTAGAAGTCTTGGATCTCATCAGCATGTTCGTAGGTGAGAGCTTTCCTGATGCTTGAAGCTTCTGCTTTCCCTATTAGTCATACAGGCATGAGCTGAAAGTCTCAGCAGGACCTGTACTGCTAAGAAATGCGTCCTCAAGATTTCTTGATAGAAGAGTGCAGGAACAGAGTAGTCTAGTGGTCAGTGCCTGCTAGGAAGGAAGGGAAAGGGGAGTTTGCTGTCTGAAATAAGGACTAATCTTCACAGCTGGGATTCAGCCTGATTTAATGAGGAGTGGATCCAAGCTACCTCCTGTGTCACCGCACCCTCACTACAAAATTCCTAGTTTTGATTCTTGTGTATATTTCCTGCATTATAGAGCATACATTCTCTGAAGAAAGGCCACTGTATATTTTTTCACTGGAATAGCTGGACTTTGTCACCTCTAACACAGCTGTCACGTAAGGGACTTGAGCTCCAGCGTGTTCTCCATCTGGGTCGTGGTTGTGTTTCCTGTCCTGCCTACCTTGAGTAAGGCCAGGCATCAGAATGATCTGGAGGAACTCTTGGAGCTGCCATATTACACTAGAAGACACATTATCTCACTCATCTGATTGCATAAATAGGGCTACTGTGGCAATTCTGCTCAGTACAGGAAAGATACAGATGATACACAGTAGAAAAAGCAGAAGTGCTGCAGGACTGCTCTGCTGCACTGTCACCTCACAGTGTGGTGGCAGCAGTGCTTCCCACAGCTAACCATGGCTTGCTTGCACTTTCCTAAGGCTTCACTGCAAAAAATGCTTCTGGGAAATAACACTGACCCAGTAGCTCCTTCTTCAGGAATTTCCTTTTCCTGAGGTCGCTGTTACCCACTTCGCATCAACCAAAAAGGCCAGGGGGCAAGCAGGCAAGCAACTGAGGTTGCTGTTCCTCTGTCGTACCACACAAGACTTCAGAACTTGGGTATTCCTGGCTGCAGGTTAGTGAGCTAGGTGTGAATCTACAAGAATGTGTCAGCTGGCTTTTCCTCACAAGGCATGATGCCTTCTCATTTTATTTCTCCAGCTCTGTATCGATGTGGTATTTTCCAGCTCCAGGTGATCTTTGTCTAAATCACATGAAAAGTCTTTCTTCATTAACTCTGGAAATTACACAAGCAGAACTTCTGATGCTATGTCAGTGTTCTCCATGTAGCTCATAATTAATGAAGCTTAGCTCCCTTGGTACACAGTCATCCAGCAAAAAATGATGCAGACTGAGGCAGCCAGCTCTCCGAAGGAAGTTCACATTTCTATATGAAGTGCTCTGTAATCAGTGTGTTCACCACTTTCATTTAAGTTTATAGAATTTGAGTTCCCACGAGGTCTGGGTAGGAAAATGTTTGAAGGCACAAGTACCACATTTCATCTTACTACATCTACAATAAAAAGTATCATTTTCTAAGGCACATGGATCTGGTCTAATCAGGTCACCACACTTAGTACTGAATTAGCAAGGTAAGTTAAACTACTACAGTTTCTGTAGGTATATACATGCTGCAACCTGAGATAGAAGCAAAGAGTAAAACACACTGGCAAAAGGGCACGTATGCTATTTAAATGTATTAAAAACAGACAACAAAGCCTCTCCTGAAACATGACAAGACTTAACTTACTGTGCTTTTAAAAAGAGTAATTAGAAAAGAGAACAAAGCAGGCTGTTTTCAGAAGCATCAGAGCTGCTAGCGAAAACCTTTCTCCTCCTAAAACATAAGAGACAATGAGGGGAGAAAGGCAGAGGAGGGAGGGGAAGATGAACTAGACAGGATGATACAAGGTATTCTAGTAAAGAACATAACATGTCAGCAGATATCTTGGGCTCACTTGTGGAAAGTGTGATCGCATTTTTGGCAATGCAAGTTCCAGCTACCACAGGCTGCGGATGCCTGGAAAAGGGAAGGCAGTGTTGAAAAGGTTTTGTTTGGGGCTCATTTGCTGCACCAGGTAGGGACTGTGCTGGTTTGCTTCAAAAGAGGATGGGGAAACCACCATCCCCAAAGTAGTTTTCTGTTTTGTTTTTTTTTTTTTTTTAAAAAAAAGAGAAGTTCCTTACATCCTCATTGTCACTGTCCAGACTGCCCTTCTTCTTTTTCTTCTTCTTCTCATCCTCTTTCTTTTTCTTATCCTTTTCTGGAATGACGTCATCAAGAAAACTTAAGTCATGCTGGGAGAAGAGGTAGTCCATGGCTTTTCTGACTGCTACAAGTGCCAAGATCTGAAAAGGCAGGGAGAGACTTTTCACTTGGACACATTTTTGACTGGAAACATTCTGTGCATACCTGTTCATGCTACTTTTTAATTCCTAACACTTGAATTTTGGTTGTAACAGAACATATAGAGAACAAGGTTATTGAGATATTTCAGTTGTTCACCTTGAAAATCTAATGAATGGAACTGGGTCAGGCCTCAAGCAGCAGTATTTCATATCAGATTAAACAGAAGCAACATACAGGAACAGTAATGTAATCACTTACTGCTTTCGTAAAGGCAGAAGTCAGCTTTAATCTCCTGCTGACAAGTATCAGACAAAATAATTAACTAGAGAGGCCCAAAATGAGTATTTTCATCCATTTGAGGGATTCAGCTTACATATGCATGTTCACAAGGGCATCCTGAGCAATTTTCTTTACTTTTTTTTTTCCTCTCACCATTTCTCCAGATAGAACAATTCTTTAAAAATTATACAGCGGTGTAGGTGTGCTTTCAATTTTACAGTATTAAATTTGCTAGGATTGTGTTTGCAAGAAACTGAAGGAAAAGCTTTTTTCTGGGTAAGACTGCACTCTAAAGCACTGGGAAAAAAAGTAAGGGACACGTCTGAAATGGGTGTCTACATCTATGCTGAAATTTAGCATAACCAACAGATGCATACCAAGATTACACGTACACTCTACTAAAGGGTGCAATGCAGAACGAAAGCTCAACTTGGTTATAAAAAGATGTCATCCATTCCTAGCAACAGGAGACAGATTTTAAGACAGAACAGTTTGCTCCAACTGATGAAGATCAATGGCAGAAATTATCCCTCAGAATGGATCTCAAACTTTGACTATAATTTAAGTGGGGTTCAGAAGTGAAAAATTACTCAGGGAGTGGAAAGATGCCATGGAAGCACCCATCATTATTTCACTATAAATTCCCTCTTTATTAAAAGTACTTTCTCCACAAATAAGCAGGGGGCTGGCTGTTGGTTAGGTCTTCACAGTCAGGTTGTAAGCTAATAGTCTTCCTGTTCTCAAGTGTAATAACTGAGGTTTTATCATTAGATCCAGTCACATCTGTAAGTATAACAAACTTCAGCAAACGTGAAGATTCTCTTATGGACAAAGAGGAAATCTTCAGATCTTAAATTCAGCATTCAACAATACAATACAGCCATGAGAATGCAATGGAAAATGAGCATGCCACTGGAAACTGCTTTTAATATCTTTATATATTTGTATATGTCCTAGCAAAAATATTTGTATGTTTTACTTTTTTCACTTGAATCAGCCTTTCTCATTTCACTAGCATCAGAGAATAAATGCCTTTGTTTTGTTTCCTGCTTTCCTTCATTTTGCTTTCTTAAATAAGCACTGGAGTTTTGTAACTGCACCCACAACTGAGATTTTACTCATTAATAAACCTGAAACTAGGGGAGATTGGGCCAAAATGTAATAAGCAAGTTTCATACAGTGTTGACTTTACAGCATTCTGACCCATTTCCAAGAGAGACGGTCTCTTGGCATGCTGCTATGGCCACACTGGATCCATTTGTCTGTAAAATTACATAAAATTACTACATTAGCTAAGTCACAGGAGGGGTATGGAGGCAGAGAAGGGTCTGCTCTGTGCTCCCATACTATGTACATAAACTACTCCAGTGATCAATGTAAATGGCTGCATGTTTTGGAACTTGGCCGGGTTTGGAGCCTCGTGCCAAGTGTATGTGCTAATTCCCCTTACCACTTGTTTATTTCTTATTTGGCATGTGCACCTAACTGTGTCTCTAGGAGTAGTAATCATCTAATTGCACAGATAGCTGTTTCACTGTTCCCCTTCCTTGATGTAGAAATACCGTATCAGACTGACTGCACAGTGTGTCTTTATGAAATAATTGTGTGATGAATTATTTATAATTCAGGATCCAAAAAATGTTTTTAACATGATTCTGACACGCATCGTTAGAAAGATAACGTGCATCCTATAGATATTTTTAGCAATCTCAGATGTGAAACGTGAATCAACATCCTTGCCCTTTTACTCAATTTCCAAGAAAAAGAGAATCCCTTCCTCACTCTTGATTATGCGAATCCTTCTCTCCACTTGGCGTTTCTCTGAGCAGTGAGATCAGCCTTACCACTTCATTTGCCTTTCTCAATTTGTGTTACTGAAAAGTATGGGAGACATTTTCTGTACAGTACTTAGTGTGGACTGAAATAGGAAAACTCTGCACTCATTCATTCATGCAGGTCAAGGAGAAAACACAGCAAATCTAACCTTGGCAGCCAGGAGCGGTCAAAACTAACTGCACCTATCTGGCAAAAAATTAACTTTTGAAGCTTGCTTTCCCCTCCAGAGCATTTATGTAAAGGCAGCCACAGCACCTGAGAGAATGTGGAGAACATTCACCCTGTGTAATCTTACATCAGCACAATGAATGGAGCTCTAAGTGGAGTTCTAAGGTAGGGCTTTTACAGTGAGAGGATTTGATTTGCATGGTTTGTGGGAGAGTATGCCCATGCGTGGAAGGCCCAGGCTACAGAACAGAGGTGTGACTGGAAAAGGCAAAGGAGAATATCACCTACCATGACAGGGAATATGATAGCAGCCACAGTTGACTTGAGAATCCAGAGTAGGGCTAAGCAAACCACCTGCAGAAACGTGAACAGATGGACTCTGCGCAGCGGGACGTGACGCAGATAGATAAAATCAGGCTGGTGCTTTAGAGGCATCAAGAGCAGCTTCAGACGATCCATGAACTGGATGGAAAATGGAAAAGCAACATACATATAAATGAAACACAGGATAAACAAGGAAGTGAGACAATTGCATAAATAAACTATTAAGTGAGATCTTGAATCGACTTGCTTTCCTTCCATGCACATCGCACAGCATAGAAGGCAGCATGGTTCCTCTGTATTGAGCAATTATTGCTTAATGCAGTGGGCAATTGAAGTTAAGCTTCCACACCCACATTTGGCACCTACACAGAAACAGAAATGAAGCATTTCTCAAAGCAAGGCCTTAAGGTGCTTTTATTTTAGGGAGCAGGACTCCATGTAATCTGATGATTAATATTTAAACCAAAAAACTTAGGTGTCAGTGGAAATAGCTCTGCTGGCTCCAAAAGAATTGGACTGATCTGCTGTAGCTGGAGACAGAGGAAATTTTCTGTTGAATGTCCTGACTACGGCCAGCATTAATGCTTGGGTTACTTCTTTTAACTTCCCTGTTCCTGCCAGGAATGCTATAAAGACATTTGGTATTTAAAAGTAGTGCCTTTGTCAAATTAACTGCAAGCAGAGGTCAGCAGAGGTGAGGGCAGACATCATGTTAACAAAGAATAGAATGCACCCAACTGAAGAAGATGGGCAGCTTTTCAGACAGTGTCCCTTGCCCATGCTGGACTGGTGGACTTGGAGTTAAACCAAAATGGAGAGTTCTCACTAAGTGAAAAACATCCTTGATGGGGGAAAATAAGTAAGCACACAGTTCAGTGACCACCTGTGCCAGAAAGCAGGGGAAATCCCCTCCAGGAGAACCAGCCCAAGGGCGAATATTACAATCCCCCCGTTGTCTCTTACCAGAACTTGGGCTTGTTGCCCATTTCTGAGACCAGATTTATCTCAAACCAGTGAATGAAAGCCTGGGCCATTTTAAAGAATACCCAAATAAACTCTCATGGTACTCACAGAACACAGAGTCTTTCCCCATTAGAGCACAACTAAACACTAGAAAGAAAGGCTACAATTAATAGGGTGCCAGAAAGCAACAAAAACACTTCCAGCTTCCTAGCGCCAATTAAAGATAGTGCACTGTGAGAAAGGCTCCTTACGTAATATTTCCCCAGTGACAAAGAAAGGGGGCTTGGCTTCCCTTCCATAGCAAACAGCAATGTTCCCACTTGTTAACATTGCGGAATAATGCCACCATCATAAATCATGTTCTCTTGTTTTTCTTCACTCTGTAACAGATACCCCAGTAAAGGACCCAAACTATCTCAGAAGTGAGCCTAGAGCCTTTGTAAGCACACCCTGTCCTCTGTATCAGCGTATTGGGGGTGAAGAAGGATCCCGGGTCTTCACATAGGCCCCCATCATTGCTTATGGGGCCAAGACTTGGCTGCTCTCCTGCTGAGCAAATTTCTTTCCTTTAGTGTCATTCTCAAGAACAGCCAGTGTGTGGCAATATTTGTAAATAGTTCCTGCACTGCTTGGGTTTCTTTGGAAACAAATGAGGTGACGGAGGAGAAGAGGAAGGCCAGAAAGTCCTAAGAGAAGCCTTGTAATAATTAATGATTACCATCTTCTGGGCAAGGTCCTGTGGGAAGTCTGCTCACAGATGCCAGAGCAGCCTTGGGCGCTGCGGAAGCTTACCTGCACGCCATTGAGGGACGCAACACCCATGTACAGGAAGACACCATAGAGCACAGGCATAGGAATGAACTGCGGGGGAAAAGAGCAGGAGAAACAAAGTTAGTCGCCTCCATATGTGACACAATGTTAGTGCTCAGGGAGGCATAATCCCCCACTCATGACAGATCTGAACTGTACTTTTGAATCGGTAATGTACAGTAACAGGCACAATCTTTCTGCTGTATTTTGAGAGTTGAAAGAACATCTGGATAGCAGGGCAGAGGCTGAGTGAGCCCTGTTCTCTTCCATTTCAGTGCAACTTGGAAGTCTCCCCAAGAAACAAAAGAAACAAGGACAGATAGTGCCACAGCTAGCCATCAAATTTAAGAAGAGGTGGGATAAAACATTCCAGTAAATTCCAAACTACTTTTCACCTCATAGTTTCTAATGAGACTGAAAGCAGAAGGTAGAAAAACAGAGGAAGAAAACGCATCATGGATCCTATTACACATCCAACGTAATACACAGTGGAAGTATTTCCAGAAGGGCTGATCCCTTGAATCCCAGATGAGCAATTATCATCATGCAAAGTGAATCTCTAAGTGCTCAATCTTTAAATCACACTAATCTGCTACAATTAATAAATAATGGACAATAAGTTACATTCTTCCAGAAATTGGTTTTTCAAACAACGATTTCTACTCCTTCAAGTGTTACGCACTGGTCACATGCAGGTGGAAACAGCATCCTTTGGAAATAAAGAAGGCTCAAAAGCAGTGGATATGCAGGGGTGCAGCCCCATCTCTAGGTGCCTTGCAAGGTTTAATGCAAGAGCAGCCATTGGTAACTCCACCTTCCTGCCCACTTAAGCAAATGCAACTTTAAACTTCCCCTCTTGTGCCACAGGACCAGCCCAGCTACATTAGCCAGTGTCTGCACTAATCCAGGCAGCTGCAGAGGAGAAACCCTTTGTCTACAGCAGATTCCTGCATATGCTAGCAACACACACGCTTCCCCGAAAAAAATAGCTGGTCCTCCAACCCAAAGCACAGAGCCTTCTGCAAAGGCAAAAACAATTGCACAGTAGCTAAAAAAGGGAGAGCGCTCTTTCTGACTAACAAAATTGTGTGCAATGTGTGGCACGTGAATGGAAATACTTGGGCACAAATCAAACAAGATCTGAATAAAAGCCGTTGTGCCACACTTATTTCAACCCAAAAAGAGCAGAAGGGGCTCTGCAGCTGTCTGCTCAGAGTGAGGGAAGCCTTCATGTACTGACAGGCAGCTGCCACAGAATGCCAAGTGCAGCACAACCAAAGTCTCCCTGCTCAGAGCGTCACCTGGACTAACATAGTAGGAATGTTTGTTTTTCAACCTGTTTATGTAACTCATTAAAGTGGCGAATAATGTCTGTTTATTGCGTTCTCCACTACATCATTAATCGTTTACTAGGTAATAAACACAGCACTGTGCAAATTTCTGTGGAGGCCTTGATCCTGAATGCATGCATTTCACTTCACTAAAGACGCCAGTGCCATGCGTACCACGTCCTCAAAGATCAAAGCATCACTGCCTATGTTCCTTCCTTGTCTCACTCCCTCTCCTTCAAGCTCCTTGACTGCTGCTTTATCTTTTTATTGCCGTACTGTTTGTCCCTCCTACTGGGGAAGGACGAGGAGTCAGTGTGTGGTTCACAGTTATGAGTACCCAAGGGATTCAATATCCTCACTAGATCTGAGGGATTAGATAAGTCAGTATCTCCTCCAGCAAGGTGAGCAGGAGGCTTTATGAGTTTGGCTTTCTAGTTCACTTACCTTGCTTTCTTTTCTCCCATTCTTTCTCCCTCTCTTTTTCAAAAAAAAAAAAAAAAAAGAAATATGTCTAAATATTATTTCACCATTCCATTATAATTAATCCTGTAAATCATTTGTAAGAGAAACTTCAGCACGTTATCCTCCAGAGTAGCAAGCAGTGCTTTCATTT